AAAAAAAAAAAAAAAAATCCCGCAAAACAAAGAATTTCATGGAAGGGGCCCGGAGAGATAGCTAAGTAGAATAAGTGCTTGCCTGGCCAATGCAGGGTCCTGAGTTCAATCCCTGGTACAACAACAACAACAACAAAAAAGAACTTCATGGAAGACCTAATGGCAGTACTCCTCAAACTTTAATGAAATTGAAAGAGAAGAAGCATCACCAACTCCTTTCTGGAAGCTAGCATCACTCTGATTCTAAAATCAGACATGAACTCAACTAAAAAAGAAAACTACTGGTCAATCTCTTTAATGAACATAAATAAAAATCCTCAAGAAGATACTGGTAAACAGAATGCAACAAATCATTAAAAAGGTCATATACCATGACCAAATAGGCTTCATTCCAGAGATGCAAGGATGGTTCAATATAGTAAATCAATACATGTAATTCATAACATAAATATAAACAAGGACAAAAATCACATAATCATCTAAAGAGATGCAGAAAAAAACCTTTGACAAAACCCATGGATTAAAAATCCTGAAGAAGGGCTGGGGAGATGGCTGAATGGAATAAGTGCTTCCCTAGCAAGCGCAAGGGTCTGAGTTCAATCCCCAGTTCCACAAAAAAAAAAAAAAACCCTGAAGAAAATATGTATAGAAGATCCTTATCACAATGTGATAAAAAACCATTTATAACAAATACTGAAAACATTGTTAATGAGAAAAATTAACTGAGGCTTTTCCTCTAAAATCAGAGAAGGATGTCCACCAGCACGACTCCTGCTTCTTATAGTACTTGAAACTTTATAACAATAGGCAAGAGAAAGAAACAAAAAGGAGATATATATTTGATCATGGCATATGACCTTTTTAAGTGCCTGCTTAGATAGAGCGCAGTAGCTGGAGTTTGATCCCCAGCCTGCCTTGCCAGCCCCACCTCTGGGGCGTGCTGAGACAGCAACTGAGACTGGGTGTGGTGGCACATACGCCTGTAATTCCAGCACTTGGGAGACTGACAACAGGAGGATCACTAAGAGTCCGATCTGTGTAGTGAGACCCTGTAGACCTTGTACTAAAATACATTTTAAAAAAAATCAAATAACAAATGCTGTCTAGGTTGTATGGGGTAACAAAACACCCTATATTACTAATGGGAATACAAGCACTATGGAAATCTGTATGGAGATTCCTCAAAGAACTGACATAAGAAATTCAGTTTGACCCAGCTATTCCCTTTCTAGGTCTCTTCGTGAAAGAGTTAAAGGCATTAGATTATAGTGACACATGCACACCTGTGTTTATAACAGCATAAGTCATAACAGTTAAATCTTGGAAGCAGCCTATATGTCCACAGATGAATGGAGAAAGAAAATGTGACATTTACACACAATGGAGCAGTACTTGGCCATAAAGGACAAATTTGAGGCATTTGTAGAAACGTGGATGTGCGTTGAGACCATAATGTTACATTACATAAGTCAGACATGAGCCAGCCAGATAGCTCAGCAGACTAAAGCACCTGCTTCAGCAGAGTGCAGCAGCTGGGTTCGATCCCTAGCTTGCCGTGCCAGCCCTGCCCCTGGGGCACGCTGAGTCACAGGTGATTGAGACTGGGTGTGGTGGCGCGAGCCTGTAATCCCAGTGCTTGGGAGGCTGAAAACAGGAGACTCGCTACGAGTGCAGTCCACATAGTGAGATCCTGTGGACCCTGTAGACCTTGTTCTAAAATTCATAAAAATAAAGAAATAAAAAATAAGTCAGCTTAAATACACACAAGCTTAAATACTTACTGCATGATTTGTCTTATATGAGAAATCCAAAGTATAAACAACTCAAAGAGCAAAATAAAAGATCATGAAAAACAGGAAGATAGAACTTTTGCAAATAGAGCAGAAAGAGATGGAAGGGAAGGAGAAATACAAAGAACTGAGACGCGCTTGGTACATGTGACAGCTGCCCATGATGGATGTAATCATTAGGTACCATATAATGTTTGTAAAACTTTTTTTAAAAATTTAAAATAATTTAAGAGCAGAGGAAAGGCTTGAGTGGGGGGCTAAGGCCGATCCCAGGCATGGGACTATGGGGAAATAAATACGAGCTTTGGAGCCAGACAGATCTGAGCTCAGCTTCTGACTGTGGGCCCTACTCTTTGAGCCTCGATTTTCTGATCTGTAATATGGGGATATCGAAACATGCAGCACATTCCCTGGCACACAGGAGGTGCTTCACTAATGGAGCCTTAGGAAGCTTGCTTGGTGGAATCTTCCCCCTCCTGACCCTAGAGAGAACATTCTAGGGCTACTCTGGACCATGGTGGCACAGGGCTGCCATGAAGATGACTTTAGGCCTTCAGCAGAGAGAAGGCTGTACCTACCCCGAAAGAGATGTAGGCTCCCAGCAGGCTGCCGGCGATGGTGGCATAGCCCCCGGTCATGACCACATGGACCTCAGAGAGCGTCATGTCTGCCAGGTAAGGCTGGATCAGCAGGGGAGCCTCAGTCTATGACAGGACAGGAATCAGATGGGCAGCCCACTGCAGGGCTGGCTTGATCCCTCCCTCCTGACCTCTGTGCAGATCCAGCCTCCCACTGCCCAGGAGCAGGAAGAGAGCCCTAGCAAGAAGCATGTGCCCAGGCTGCCAGGGGAGGCCCAAAGAGAAGAGCAGGGACCTCAGAGCATGTACTCGCTTCAGGGCCACCTACTGCTCACCCAGTTCTGTTTTGTTTTGGGGGTCCTGGGGAAGGAACCCAGGCCATGGCATGCCAGGCAACTGGGTAACAGTGGTGGTTGCCCATGTGCTCTTTTGATGGGGCCCTTTGGCATGTGTGAAGGATGATAAGTGGATGTGTGGTGGGAGGAACAGAGGAAAGGGACACTCCTGCTGAGGTGCAGCCATGACAAGGTAGAGGGTATTGAGGTGCTGTGGATCAGGGCTCGCATATTCAGCCGAAATGTCCAGATGGAAGTCAGGGAACTGCACGGGCATGTTACTTTAGAGTCTAGGGCACAGGTTCGGGTTCCAGAGATGGACATGGGGCATTAGGAAGCCATGGGCTGTTGTGGTCCCCCAGAGTGTGTGGACTCCCCAGCAACAGTGCCACCACTCTGTGAAGCGTTCTATCCTTCCCCCCAAGGGAAGTGAGACAATGTCCTTGAAGTCTGGTCACCTCAGCCAACAACTTGTCCAAAGCCAATTTACCTTGGTAGTTCTTTGTGTCACCTGATATCACATGCACTACAGTTTATATTTTCTCAGCAGAAATGGGTTATGTTTGCAGCCTCTTGCATGCAATAAGAGCTTTAAGCTTTAAGGTTCTTTTCCTCTATTTGCCTCACTTTGGATATCTGAAGAGATTTGGGGGACAGCTTATCTGAGAGGATATCTATCTTAATTGGTGAATAGCAAACAAAAACCTTTGAGATCAACTCATTTGTACTATAACAAAACACACACACACACACACACACACACACACACACACACACAATTCTCCAAAGCTTCCTAAACTATTGGATAGAACACAGCACCTTTGGCAAGTGTGTCTCTCAGGAACTTGGGGGTGAGGCAGATCAGCCAGGAGACACCTTAGGATGGCCTCCCTCAGGGAATCAGACCTCAAGGACTCACATACTTTGTAAAATACATTTCAGAAAGGTGGAGAAAAAAGAAAGACAAAATTACATAGTGGGAATAACCCTGGCCAGGAAATAGAAAACCAAATTCCAATCATGGCTTATCCATGTGAGATCTTATCCATGTGGGATCTCCTCAACCAGGTCACCCCATTCCCAGCCTCAGTTTGCTCTTGTGGGACTTGTGAGAGTCCCAGCCCAGGAGAGTGTAGCCCCATGGAGGACCTCAGGCACCTTGAGGTAGCAGCCTCTGGTGACCCCAGGAGAAAGTTTCCACAGCCGTTCCCTGGGCTGACTGAGAGCTGGGGCCCCAGGACACGCTGTCCTCTTCGGGGGATGGCAGGTACCCACCTGGCTCACAAAGATGTTTCCGGCCACACTCAAGGTCTCGGTGGCTGAGGTGCCCATGGTGATCTGCATCAGCCAGGCAATCTGGGGAGGAGGCACAAGCTCCTGGTGAGTGGACAGAGCGGGCCACAGAGGAGTGAGTTTGGGGTGGGAGCAACTTCCAACTCTCCCTCCAGTTGCCCACCTGGCACAGGAAGCTGCTCCACTGAGTGTCCTCGACAGCACTCAAGCCAAGGCTTAACTGCCACTGTGCCAGGAGCAAGAGGTGGGACCTTTCTGGGGCCATTAGGTGACAACGGCTGTGCTATTCCAGTACTGGGGAGCAGTCTCCCAGGAAAAGGCCAAGCATGATGCCCACCCTTCCTCTCTGCATTTCACAGGCCTGTGTGTAACTCTGCTGTGGAAGGGGCAGCATGGGGGCCCCCGCCACATCCCAGTGCCACGTTCATGGACTGCCTGGCCTCTGGAGCCTCAGCCAAATAAACCCCTACTGTTGACGAGTTACCCAGCCCATGATGTTCTGCTAGATCAACAGGAAGTAGACTGAGGCAGATCTCCTCATCCGCATCCCCCAAAAGGCCTATTTATCTTCTGCTGAGGGGAGCTAACCACTGCCCTATACCACCCTCAAGATATGCATCTTAATTACAAGAGTGCCAGGCACTACAGCAGGCCTCTAAATGCTGTGTTCTCTGTCTGCTTAGCTAAATATATTTGATAATTTAAACACACACACCCTTGTAGATTTCCCATACATATTAACTTAGTAAAGGCTCTAAGAGGTCCTGCTTGGTTAAATTTGTTTAGCATTGTGTCTAACCTGGTTTGCCCAAGTTATTTAATCAGGGATCCTTCTACTTAACAGCATTTATTAACATGCTGGGAACCAGTTCTGCAGAAGAGCATCTGGGAGATAACTGGGAGTAGCTCTTCCTTCTAGTCAAGATGAACTCTGACTCCACCACGTCTGTCTCTACTGCCTCTCTGGCTGCCCTTTTTGTATCTTGGCCTATCAGTCCTTACTTCTTCCACCATTCCCTGGAGGGTGTAGTTTCAAGCCTGGTTTATAGTTCCATTTTTTATAGCCCTGTAGTGGGACACACTGTCCAGGTCTGGGGACAGTCACCTGCTTTATACTACAGGGTGTGCTCTTAACATTGCCACAGGTTGTTTCCGAAGTGCTGGCAGTCACCATGGTGTGCACTCACTCTGAGCTCCATCAGCTAAGACTCATGTCTCTTGCCAGGTCTAACACTAGCAAATTCTGTCTCTTATGTCCTGGTTTTATGCAACAGATTTTATGAACAGAAGCATGGGATTTGACTTCTATACCAGCTAAATCTGGTCAATATAAGCCACTGTCACAGTCTTTCATGATCTTTTGGATATAAATTATATTTTCCCTAACAACTCAGTGTAGCCTCAAGACTGGAATCTCCCCCCATACAGGGATCATCATGGATTTTGGTGCCATTTCTTTTTAGGATCACAACAAAAGACTTATGAATGAATGTTTGATTTGCAGTAAAGTCTGGGAGAATGTGAAAATAAAAGGAGAGGATCCTGGGAAGGTGTAGAACTCAAGAGCAAGGACTTCTGGGAAGGTATGGACCCTGAGGCCAAGGAACTCTAGGAAGGAATGGACCCTTAGTGTAGAGGATTCAGGGAGGATGTGAACTTCATAAGCAAGGGATTCTGGGAGGAGGTGGTCTCTGGGAGCTGGTGACTGTGGGAGAGCCCTGCTGTGGGGACAGGAACTCACCTTCAGGATCACCCATTGCATCAGGCCCAAATAGTAGAGCACTGACATGATGCAGCTGAAGAAAACAATGATGGGCAGAACCTGGCAGCAAAGGGAGCACAGGGTCAAGGTTAGAGACAGTCAGGGGCAGGGACCAGGCAGCCCCTTCCATGTGAGGCCTGGCCACTTGGGCTGACAGGCTCGGGAAGAAGCTGTGACCAGAGCAGGAAATCTCAGTGTTGGTGTGAGGGGCCTCTTGGGAGTACTGTTGTCCTATACTCCCTCCCCAAGGGACAACGGGCTGCTTCCCCCAGCCCCCCTCGCCCCACCCACCACCCTGCCACCACAGACAAAGGTCAGTGCGCACTCTTTAGCACCTGCTTCTCTGTCTCAGGATGGGGGCAAATATGCTCTCTTCAGGGCTGCTGTGAGTGAAAGGAGCCAGTTCCAGCAGGCGCAGCAGCTTGCCTGGCATCTCTGCCCCCAGGGTTCAGCCTGTGGCTGTGGCCCACATTGGCCTGAATGAAAGCACCTTGTCACTGGCTTCCCACCCCCACTGTGTCAGCAAGCTCAGAGAAGACTCACCCCATACCTGTGACCAGCACTTCACCCTGTCACTCGTTTCCCTCCCTCGGCCTCGACCCCTCTCATCATTCACTCCAGACTCAGCAATTCCTTTACCCTCCCATTTATCCCTTCCTTTCCAGGCCCACAGCCCAGCCTGGGCTTTCTGGAGTGATCCCCATCCTTCAGCTGAAGGAGGACTGATCTAATAACCTGTGGCGCAGCTGCACCACAGTGCCCCAAAAGTCTGGGAAAAGAATGAGAACATTCTCTGGGGAACCAATGGAATGATTTCTAAGACAGGCTGTTAAATGAGGAGAGGAAGGTTCACTGCCAGGGATAGAACTGTGTGATCTTGTGTGAGCCCAGGATGGCAACAGAAGGGCACACGTGGTACCAGTGACAGTGGTGCCCTATGGTGGTGAGGAGGGCCCTTGGGGGTCAGGGTGGGAGGAGGGTTTGCTTTTCACTTTGTGATCTTTTGCACCGTTAAGAGTGTTTGCTCTACTCATCTTTCAAATACTTAATCCCTCTTAAAGTTACATAGAATTGATAATGACAGGGCCCTGTTCTGATGCTGAAATGTCAGTGAGAAAACTGGAATATTCAAAACAAAATAAAACATAGGGAGCTTGGAAAGCAACACTCTTAGGACTGTGTGCTAGGACTGTGAGGATCTTTTCCTCTATTTCTGACTTTCCCATTTATTCTCCAATTTCATAGAATAGACAGGCACCTCTGAAACCAAGGGGAAAAAGCAGAGGAGATGTCTGGGGGAGATCCACAGGTGGGTCTGAGATGCCAGGGTATACCTTGTTGGCACACGTGGACTGCTGGGGAAAGGTCAGGAGCCAAGACCCAGAAACATATGGGGGAGGGGTGGCACACACAATTCCCTGGGAAAAATGCCTGGAGGCAGAGCAGGGCCCTGGGTCAGCATCAACAAAGGGTCAGGAAGACCCTGAGGCTGGTGGACATCTAGGAAAGGGTGTGTCAATTGCTGAAGCATGCTGCCAGCCAGATGTGGGGGCGCTCCCAGCTCTGGCCCTGGAAGGCCTGACTTGAACCCTTGGCACTTAGCAATTTGGGGACCTGGGTAGCCTAAGTGAGAGCAGTGGGGGGGATAGAGGTTGAATGTCAGCTGACTGATGAAGAAGTGACAAGAGGCACAGCAGGCAGGGCTAAGGGTCCAGCAAGGCTTGTGCTGGTCTTTGAAGAAAGGAGAGTCTTGAGCAGCAGATTTAGCTCTCCTTCCAGATGTGGATCACAGTCCCAGGTGGCTCCAGCCCAGAAGAGAAACAGCCCTGCTGGGGCGCCTCCCTCCCACACAACTCCCCTCTACATCTGTCACTGCAGCTGGGGATGTCATCTGACAGGGAACAGAGTTGGCTCCCAAAGCCCTCCCTTGCTGGTGACTCCTCCTTGCTGCCTGGGGTGGCAACACTGGCAGCCGATCACGTACTGTCTAGACTGCCTGTGTGGCTGGTCATGCGAGGGGCTGCTGGCGGCTGGCAGGACTGCAGAGCCAGTCTGAGCCAGGAAGGAGGTGCCTGGGCAGGTGGCCGGACTGCAGAATTGGCACCAAGATAATTATCTATCTGGGAAGAAGGAAGGAAGATGTTTTGGATTAAGTGATGACTGTTTAATGAGGGAGGAAAACGTAAGAGATCAGAGGTGACCTCTGATTTCCTAAGGTGGAATATTTATTCCTAAATACAGTCTCTCTGGCCATATGACCTCACACCCCAGGATGTACCTTTGGGGCCCGCAGTGCTTGGGCTAGAAGAACAGAACAGCTAGTTCAGGACAGTGCTGTCATGGAAGGACAAAGGAAGTGCCCGTAAGTCGTACTATGTACCTAGTGTGCCAAGCACCCAAAGTGTGGTGGCTCGCTGAGCTTTAAAGTGATTGAGGTCCATAATAACTGTCAACGCTTCACAAATGGACACACTGCAGGTCTGAGAAGACTACTACCTGCCCAAGGTCATACACCTAAAAAGGGACAACTACTGGCTACCAGGAAAGTTGCCAAGGCCCCAGGACCCAGCAGACTTGCCCCCCGGGCAGAGCTTGCATCTGTGTCTTCAGGAGTGGTGTGCATCTCTGCTGTAGACTGAACACCTATGTCCCATCCCCCAAGTCATACATCGAAACCTAAGCCCCAAAATGATGGTATTAGGAGGAGGTGTCCATGCCAAGCTGTGTGACTAGGCCCCATGCTCCCAGACCTCAAGGACCAGGCACTGTAGGCAGTGCTGTATCACCAGCTGTGGGCCACAGTGAGTCATAAAGCTGAGGATGCCTCGGGGGCATGCCTCGGGGGCAACTGTGGCCAAGACTGCAGCCCCAAGTTGCCAAAGCAGGGTGGCTCCTCTTATCTCTGCTTGTGTGCCTGATTTCCTGTATGTGTCACCCTTTGCCCAGGATGACCTTGCGCTCTGCTCCCTCGTGCTCAGCCCTGCCTGGGGAACTCATTCACAACAGAGCTCTTTTGCCTCAATTGTCCCACATCCCTTTCAGCCACTCCACCCTGGTCTCTGTGGCTTCCCACACCATCCCCAAAGATGGGGCTCCCTGAGGATGCCCCACCCTCTTACCAAATCCTGCAAAGCCTTCCAGGCCTTATCTCATTTGATCCATGGTGTGTGTGTGTGTGTGTGTGTGTGTGTGTGTGTGTATGTGTGTTTAAAATCTGGCGCTGCTGACAACTGGAGACTATAGTCAGCCTCATCCAGGCACCCAGCATCTCTGGAGAGATGAGGACTAAGGGTTCCTGGGGGAAATCCAAGCAGCTGTGCTGGGCTGAGTTGGTGGGGGTATGTGCTGGAGGCTGGAGCCCCCAGAGAGAATGAGCCATGACCCCAGTTCAACTGGCCCAAGGACACGGAAGCTGGGGGTGCTTGTGTGGGTGGAAAATTACTGGAGGGACAGAGAGCCAAGGTGGAATGACGAATCAAACTGAACCAGCCAGGAGGTGGCCACCGCATTGGCTGGGCCGGGCTCCAGGTCCAGGGTAGGTTGAAGGCTGAAGAAGTCCCTGAGAAGGACTAAACTTTCTGAAGAGAGCGCTGGACCTCGCCCAGTGGGAAGCAGCTCAGCAGCTCGGATTCTGGAAGTCTGAGAGAACTTGGGGAGACTCTGCAGGCAGAACTGGCCAGAGGCCAAGGACAAGAGGCACATGATTCACAGAAGAAATAGAAAGAAAACTCCAGGGTTGTATTCAGCAGCCCAACCCCTTGGTGGGCAAGCCCCAGGGACAGAGACAGAGAGACAGAGAGACAGAGAGACAGAGAGACAGAGAGACAGAGAGACAGAGACAGAGACAGAGACAGACAGAGGAGAGACAGAGACAGAGACAGAAGAACAGGGAGAGAAGCGGTGTATGGAATGAAAGCTTATGATTAGTACCTCTTGGGAAAAAGGGAATTTTACGGCCAGCAAGCAGTGCATCTCAAGTCCTCCCCCACATGGCCCAGCTTTGCTAAGGATGCATTGGCCATTACACTGAACAAGAGCTCGGCCAGAGGATGTGACCTCCCGGGACCAGGAAATTGTTAATGGTTGTCTGACTACAAAATGCAGAGGCTGGCTAATGATAAACCCACCCCAGTGGTCACTTCCCTCTTCAATGAGCATGGAATCTCAGAGTCTTTTGCTGCCATGGCTACAGTTCCCAGTGGGCACTGTGGTGATTAGAGGTGTCTAGGAGCTCCCAGCTCCCCTCTGGGGCAGGGCAGGACCCTCTGTAATACAGCGGGAAGCCACACAGCCACGCAGCTCCCTCCTAGAGCCTAGGACGGCTCAGGAGTGAGTAGGAAGTGAGACAGATAATAGGTGTGTGTATTCTCTAGGACAAGGGGACACAGGCAGCCAGGCAAACTCCCAGGGCAGGGCTGGAGAGAAGTGGCTAGGCAGGGGGACAGGGGGGCTGCTACACTGCTTATTTAGCACCCCTGCCCCTGCTTCTCTGCCTCTGGGCTCCCAGGGTGACCAAAGCCCAGTACGGTTTCTCACACACCAACCAAGATGAGCCCACCCTAGGCTTCCTGCTGGAGCTAGTAGGAAGCTGCCTATCTGCCCATCTCTGCTTCCTGGTCTATCTCCCTCTCTAGATCTCTAGTGTGGCTGAATGTGAGCCTGGTACATATCTGTCATCACCACAAGGCAGCCTGCCCAAGACTAAAGTCACTACTTGAGAGAAAAGAGCCAGGATGTAGGCAAGGCAGGTCCCAGTTCATGCTGAGCACTTGGATCCAACAGGACCTAAAGCTCCTGAGTTTCCTGGTTATAGATTAATTCCTTTCCCCTATCCCACCCCACCACCTACAGTCAGCCTGCACTGTGCTTCTGTCACTTACACCTAACTCAGGAGCTAAGCATCCAGCCTGGAAGCGCAGCCTGGTCTCCCAGATGTGACTCAAATTGCGGAGCCATAGGAGAAAAGATCCAAGGGTCCACTCCACTCCAGTACTACTTCTCCCAAGTTGGCCACCACATGTCACCCAGGCTTTATCCAGCACAGAGGTCCCTAAACACAGGGATCTGTTGCCTTGTGCTCTACACTGGGGGTGAAAGGCTTATCCTGGGAAACACTCCTGGTTATGAATTTCTAAGGGCTGCTTCTACCTGGTCAGTGTCTCTCTTCCCAGCATCAGGTATATGCACCCCCGAGGGTGGCCTCTAGGGACAGGTCCAAATGGATCCATTAGAGTTCTGCCCTGGGACTTATGAATGGGGTGGTGCAAAAGATTTACCCTAGAGCTGGACCAGGAATTGAGAGGATGACCACTTTGTGCCCCCAGAGTCAGCCTGAGGCCTGGAGCCCGTTCTACACCAGTTCTACATTGCCCAGTTTGGAAGCCAAGAAGTGGCCTTTCCACCTTAAATTGAGTTACAAATAAGTTTCCATCACTGGGTCCAAATAGTCCTAAGGATACTATTTTCTTCTAAACCAGGGGGAAAAACAACCGCCTAAGGTCTAGAGCCCTTGGTCACCATGTCTAAGGAGAGGACTCAAGAATCAGGCCCCAGAAGCTAAAGAACAAGAGCAACTGACCGGGGCTCAGCTCTGGACCCCAGTCCTCCTATCTGTGTCACCTCGTGCTGCTCTGAGCCTGCAGACCCTGGGCTGTGAACAGGGATGAAATAGTTCCCTGCAAGGTGCTTTCAAGGTTGAGTGTCCAAATCGCCATCAATGGGACCGTCCCCTTCCTTTCTCCTAAGCTTTTCTTCTCTGTTGCACCAGGGTGCCAGGAATAGAAAGGACAAAAAGTTTCACAGCCACCCTGAGCTTTGCTCCCAAACCTTTGTGGAGCCTCTAGGGGGCTGGGAAGGCTGAAGAGGGGCACTCAGCCCTGGGATTGGCCCCAGGGAAATGGTGGACCAGGACACTCTAGCAGCAGGGAGGGCTTTCCTGGAGGCACACAGGATCACTGCTTCATTCATTCATTCATTCATTCATTCAGTAAAAAGCAGAGTCCCTGGGCAGGGCTTTTAGGGCTCAGGGCTGGGTAGGGGACACAGAGATGACCAATGCCCAAGTCTTGTCCTCAGATGGCTAAATGCGATCACACGCCATGTGGAACTAAGTGTTGAGCTCTGTGTGGGTCACACCTCTGTCTTGCCTTTGTCCTGTGACTCCTGGGTGACTTTTCTCCTGGATTATGTGGCAGCTTCCTGCTGTCCTCCCACCCCAGCATCCTGGCCACCAACCTTCCCATCCATTTCTGTCAACCAGCCAGGGCACCAATCAAGTCCTTCCCTATCCCAAACCATAAGCGGCTCCTCGTGTACTGGGGACAGAACCCAGATGCCTCAGACAGCTCTTAGGCTGTCAAAATGGATGCGGCCTGGCTCCTTGGCCTGGCCAGCATGCCATCACCTCATGCTGCCCTCCAGGCCTTTCCTCCCAGCTCCATTTCCCAGCTCTAAGGCCCAATCTTCCCCACTCTGAAGCCCTGTGTGGAATGTCACGTCCCATGTGATTCTTCATTAACCTAGTTATAAGCAACCCTCCCCCCACTCTGGGGATCACTGAGCACCTGCCTTTGTGCCCTCACTGCCCTCGAGGTGGGAGGTGGACATGCAGAGGACTGCGTGTTTGTTTTCCTAAGTGGGGAAGCTGCCAGAGCTTCCCTGCACAAAGCAGATCTCCACTGTTCTTCCCTGGAGCCTTGGTTACACAGACAGGAGGAGCAGCAGTGTCCCCCCCCCCCCCGCATACACACACAGCCCCAAAGGGATGGTGTTAGGGGACCTCTAGGGGACTGACAGAGGCTTCCTCCTACAGACTTAGTCTGAGAAAACTTGATGGGCTCATCTATCCAGGCAAGCAGACTCCTGAGCAGGCAGGAACTGTCTCTCCCTTTGCCCCTAGACTTGGCATGATTAGAATCCCTATCACAGGCCAGACATTCCTTAGTGTCCGATGGTACAATGACACCAAGGTTCCAAGGGGAGCCCTGGAGGCCAGGTTGGGCCAGGTAGAAGGGTCTGGACCTCCTCTGGCCCAGCTCAGCCGAGAGCTCCATGGCCAAGTCCTTGGTTTAGGCAGGAAGCTTCCTGGGTCCAATCCTCTGGGAAAGTCGGGAGGCGCAGAGCACGGTGGCCATAGATATGATCAAAGGCAAAAACCTCTAAGCCAGATATGATGGCACACGCCGGGAATCCTCCCAGGAGGCTGAGGCAGAAGGATTGCAAGTTCACGCCCAGCTTGGCAACTCAGCAGTTTAGCATGAACTTGTCTCAAAATATAAAATAGAAAGGGCTGGGAGGTAGCTTAGTGTGAAGTCAATCAGTCCGATGTCCGGATCTCTACACATGGGCCCTACACAGCTCCTCTATGGGGGTGATGTTGCAGGACACACCAGGGGGGCAGCAGCGATTTCCCTCCATGGGACCATGACATCTGCGGCAGAAGTCTTCCTGAACTACGATTCCTGAGCTAGGATCAGGTGGAGGGTCTAGGGCTCCCTGCCTCTATACCTGACATTTGGAAGGGGAGCTTAAGTAGGAATGAGCAGGGTCTCCCCCAAAACCCTGGTGCAGGGCAGAGAGAGGAGGCCTGTGCTAGAGCTCTCCTGAGGCGAACAGGAAATGGTAGAAAACAACTAGGACCACACCTCTGACCAGAGCTGTGGCAGCACAGCTACCAGTTTTAAATCAGGGCTCTTCCATCAACAATTAGGTCTTCAAAACCAACCAAAAAGGTCTTCTATGGAGGGAAGGATATTTCCTTGGCTTGAACCCTGGGCCTTCACAATGAGTACATCCCCAGCCTTCTATTTTTTGAGACAAGTTTTTTGTTTTTTGGGTTTTTTTTTTTTTTTTTTTTTTTTTTTTTTTTTTTTTTTTTTTTTTTTTGCGGAACTGGGGATTGAACTCAGGCCCTTGCTCTTGCCAGGCAAGCGCTTATTCTACTGAGCTATCTCCCCAGCCCCTAGACAAGTTCTTGTTAAAGTGCTAATTTGCCCAAGCTGGGCTCAAACATCCATTCCTCCTGCCTCAGCTGCCAGAGTGCTGGAGTCAAAGGTGTCCACCACCCTGCCTGCTTGGAAGTGGCTTTAACCGAATTTCCCCTGTAATATCTTGTGTGGCAGGAGATGCACAGTGAGTTTTTGTTGGAAGGAGGAAAACAGAGGGGAGGAGAAAGCAAGGTAGAGGAAGGAGAGTCACAGCTGGACCATGAAGGGTGGGCTTCCTGGTGGAGGCAGCTGAGGGCTCTGCAAGGAGCAGCGTCTGAGATGAGCACAGGACCACAGCAGAAACTGTCCTTTCTAGGCCCCCAGCCCTGCAGTGTGTCAAGGCAGAGGTCCTGGCAAACCCCCACCCCACTTCTTAGCCTCAGCTTCCCAGCAAATCTGTCACGTAGGGGCTCCAGTTGAAGGAAAAAAATGCCAAAATAGCTTTGTTTTCCAAATTTTACAAAGCACAGCAAAAACATAAGACCCAGTGAACACATTGTTCAGGGTTCCCTCCAGGTCAGCTCCCAGGAGTCACAGTATGCCCGGGAAGGACTCTGCCACGGATGCCAACCTCTGCCACCTCAGGCTCCCGCTAGCTGGAGGTCAGACTGAAAGTCACACTGACCTGAAAGGCAAAGATGGCCTTGACCAGAGCCTCCCCAAACACGAAGCTGGAGCCCACGTCAGCGTAGCTCAGGAAGATCTGGAGGAAGAAGAAAACGGGAGCGAGGCTGGGACTGGGGCGGGGGCAGAGCCCTAGCTGGGTGGGAAAGGACGCTGTGGCCATGGCCCTTCCTGGCGCCAGGTGGGGTGGCCCTGGGACAGTCCCCGAGCCTCCTACTTGGCACTAAAGCATGTGCACTGAAGCAGCAGTAGTGATCCCTGGCACGGGCCTCTCTGGAGCACATTCCACAGAAGAGACACCATTTTGTTCAATTTTAAAGCAGCACTCTGACGTTAGAGTTGTTAAGAGCAATAAAGAAGAGAGAATAAAGCCAGGCATGTTGGGGTAAACCTGTAATCCCAGCACTCTGGGAGGCTGAGGCAGGAGGGTGTTGAGTTCGTCCCCAGTCTGGTCAATTTAGTAATTTAATGAGATCTTATTTAAAAATACAGAAATCGCACCTATAGTATTTAGGTGCCAATGGAATCCCCATCTCTGACAGGACTAAACAAAAAAAGGGGATTCAAAGGAAGGACCATTTTGTATCTGTAAATACAGAATAGTTAGGATAGATATACAGCTACTTTCACTTAATTCAATGAGAAGAAAAATTTGTACTAATAGTGTTTGAACAGGATATCCTGTCTGCATCTTATACTATGGATAACCACTAAGAAGATAACAATGTACATGTATTAATTATTGAAACTGTTCTATTAACCAGTTTTGAAACTGTCTCATTGCTATTTGTTTCTCTATAAAATAAAATAAGATAATATAAAATAAACAACTTTCTCCAAAAAATAAATAAATAAATAAATAAATAAATAAAAATACAGAAATATTTTAAAAGGAGTGGGGACAAGGCCTTGAGTTTAATCCCCAGTACTACAAAAGCAAAAAAACTAAAAACCCAAAGACTTTGCACGCAGTGAGGAGGCAGCCAGCTTGGTCCCAAAAGCTGTCGGCATGGCCTGCCCCTGCTGTCCCAGTTTCAGACACTTTCCAGGGGACCTGTGTTCTGGGTACTGAACAAGTCACTCGCCCAGTCCAGCTCTCAGTATTTTCAGCTATAGAATGGGGATGTGACCCAGGCAGGTGCCCTCAGGTGGGAATAGAGAAGGGTCAGAGCCACCAATTTGCTGGGCAGTGACAGGAGGTGAGCCAGGCCTTCAACTGTGTCTTCCACATCCACAGTTTAAAAAACAGACCAACCCAGCACAAAGGGATACATCTGTAATCCTAGGAATTAGGAGGCTGAGGCAGGAGGATCTGAAGTTTGAGGCTACATACATGGTAAGAGTTCGAGACCACCCTTGACAACATAACAAGATCCTATCTCAAAAAACAAAAAAACAGGGCTGGTGAGATGGCTCAGTGGTCTAAAGCACCTACTTAGAACAAGCTTAGCAAAGCACAGGGACCGCGGTTCAATCCCCCAGCACCACATGCCAGACCGCCCTGCCCCCTGGTGGGCTGAGCTGGCCACACACACACACACACACACACACACACACACACACACACAAATAAAATTTAAAAAAAACACAAAAAAACAAACAAACAAAAAACAGGTCATGACAGTTGTACAACAATGTGCATGAACTTAGTAACAGTGAAAAATGATTAAAGTGGTAAATTTTATGTTATATATATTTCAACAGAATAAAATAGCTGGGCACAATGACATACCCTTATAATCCCAGCACTGAAAGAAGTTGAAGCAGAGGATTGCAATTCAAGCCGTAGCCAGGCCAACTTAGCAAAATTCTGTCTCAAAATTTACAAAAAGGAATGGGGAAATAGCGTGGTGCAAGGTGTTCCCAATTCAACCCCCAGTACTACAAAAATGATAATAATAATAATAATAATAATAATAATAATAATAAACAAATGAAATGAGAAACTGCAACTTCAATAAATATTATTTCTGAAGATACATAGACATGCACAGTATTTTTGTTTGTATGAAGCGAGTTTAACTATGACTACAACTGGCCACACACACGGGTATCCAGGTACACTACAGACCACCCTGTCTGGGGCTCTCTTCCCATCAACCCCGCCTACAAGCGCCCTGCCAGGCCAGGGGCCCCTCCTGGACTCAAGCCTCCTCCAGGGCCTCGCTACCCCTCCCAGCTTTGCATGCAGCCAGGACTATGTACGCACGTGGATCTGATCACCCAGCCACTGGAATGCAACAAATCCGGGCTCTGTTCTGATGACGAAGAGTCCAAGCACAAACTGGAGCCCGAGGCCCCAGAACACAGTCTGCCAGGACACCTGCCACCGACAGAAAGGTCCTGGTGAGCTCAGCTCCTGGGGACCCCACAGGACAGCGTAGGGTGAGAGCAGAGGCCTTGGGGAGCTGTGACTTGCCATGGAATGGGAGCTGGACAGCTAGAGCCCTGGTCTGCCACCAACTGTTGTACACACCCGAGGATTCAGCACAGGCCATGCACTCAGCAGGAGGATTCTTAGGATTACCTCATTTTTCCTTCCATCTTTCTTTCTTTCTTGTACTGGAGATGGAACTTGAGGCCTTCACACCAAGCTACATCCCCAGACTATTTTTAGTTTTCATTTTGAAACAGGGTTTTGCTAAGCTGCCCAAGGTAAGCTCAAACTTGGTGATAGTCCTGCCTCAGCCTCCCAAGGTGCTAAATTTTAGACTACTATGCTCAGGTAAGAAGTAGCAGGGCTGATGCTTATATTGCTAGTCAAGGACAGAGACTACAAGAACCATTATTTGAAGCTAAAAATTCTTGGAAGCCCTGGTTCCTTGCATAGCCTCTGGAGCTCAGGAACATGGGGTACCGTTCCTGAGGCTATAGACAGGAGAGCCAGGCTTGGACAGACCAGAGGTCGCATCACCAAGAGAATAAATGCTCCTGGTGACCAGTTAATTGAGAATGACATCTTCAGTTCCCTCCAGGAAGCTCCCCTGCCCTGCTGAGGACTTGGAGGAGTTTGCTAAGAGATGTGGCCATCCATGGGGTCCTCTATCCCAGCATGCCCCTCACCAGCTCTATAGGGAGCCTGTCCCCATGCCAGTGGTCTTCCCTGGACTCTGGGCCTCAGGGGCTTCCTGATAAGAGCATCTAGACCCCCAGCCCCCAGCGCCAGCCCCAGGGAGAATAGAGGAGACCTTTCCCAAGTTCCAGTCAGGTTGCCACCAAGCACTCACAGCATGACGATGCTTTGAGCAGGCAAAGAGAATGGAGATGAACACGCAGATTCCAGCAAAGGACACCAGCTGCTCAGGCCTCTGGGAGGTGTCCAGCCCCAGCCACAAGGCCAGGGCCAGGACCGCAGCAAGGGCGAGGGCTCTGTAGGAGAGAGGCAGGGAGCGGTCACCTCTGCATCTCACATGCACACACATGCATGCACATATACACGTGTGTACACGGGCAGCAACCACACATGGGACAGGCCAAGACCCTGCTCAGTGTTCCACAGAAGGCCCTGTGGGAGGTGGGGGATGGACTCTGCCGAGGGCACCCACACTCCTCCCAGCCCTCTGTGGTGCCAGGCACAATTTCCTCTCCTCGCTTCTTTCCTAGGCTGTGGGCAGTTTCCTCAGACACATCCACCAATCACAACTTGACTAGACATTGAAAGGGACCATGCAGGTCTTCAGAGTTTCCTCTCTGGTCTCTGGGGCTTTGCAATGCATGCCCTCCCTCCCAGGGCACAGTGACATGCCCTAGCCATGATGGTCCCTATCCCTGAGGTACTAACTCTGTAGATATGCAGGATGAAAAAGCCATAGCAATGTGGATATCAAAGGATGGGTAAGTCCCTGGGGAGCACAGGTAGATCCACTGCAGGGCAAGACTGCCTCAGGGCCCTAGACCAGCAAAGCCACAGTGGTACATTGTGCCAGCCTAAGAAAGCTGAGGCTCCAGGGTGTTGGCCCAGCCCATGGTGGTGCCCAGATTGCTCAGATTTTGATGGCCCAGTGACCCCTGGGTGTCCAGGAAACAACATGTGGTGTAAACAACTATTCTGGAGCCTAGAGGCTTAAGTGTCATGACCTCTTGATTAGGTTTCAGCTAGCTCGTTTTGCCTCTATCTTCTGGATGAGTTTTTACTGGATGATTTCTTACCCCATTCTGGTTCCACCTCTGTATTTTGGGAATAGAGGCTGTACCTTGCCTTGGTTCACAGCTGGAAGGACTCCCAGCTAGGAGGACTTTGCCTTCTGTCTCAGATGAGACTCTGGTCTTTGGAAATGATGGTAAGCCAGGTTAAAATTTTGGGGACAACCAGGATGTTGTACGTGAGGAGGACATGAGTTTTGAGAGGTAAGGGTCCAACACTCTGGACTATTGTGATTTGTTCCTGCCAAATTCATGTTGAAATTTAATAGCTAGGGCTGGCAAGATAGCTTAGCAGTCTAAAGTGCCTGCTTAGGCAAGCATAGGCAGGCGCAGGGGACCATGGCTCAATCCCTGGCACGACATGCCAGGTGGGCCCCCGCCTCCACAAAAAGAAAATTTAACAGAGGGCAGTTGGGGTGGGGTGGGGCCCACTGTTAAGGAACAGGCTGTTCAGAGAAGTTAATACCTTTCTCAAAGAAATGGGTTCACTCCGGCAGGAAGCAGTGACTGTGTATTAGTTACTGCGGCTGTGCTCCTTATAAATCTAGGCTGCCTCTACTTTGCCTCTTCTCACACTGCTTGCCCTTCCCCTTTCTGCCATGAGGTGAAGCTTCACGAAGCCCTCACCAGAAGACGGCAGTGTGTAGCAATGGGAGACAGAAGCCTGACTCCCGAGGGAGCAAAGAGCATGAAGAAATGGAGTCGGAGGAGACCTGTTGTCTCTTGCAAATTTCAGCAAGCTGGGAGAGAAGGTCACAGATAACAGCATTTCCTGGAGGCCTCCTGTCTGTCCTTTGATCCTTCATCTGGGATGTTAAGGGCTAGTGTTATGTGAACTTAAGAGTTTGGGGAATGCTAGAAGGCACTATAGATAGTAGTTCATTTAAACCAAATTAGTTATGCACATCCTTAGCCTGTTTTTAGCCCACAATAAATGTGAGAAGTTGCTCAGGACTCTCTTAGAGCAGATTAAACTCGAGTCTTCCTGTCGCTTCTTTCCGCTCTGACTGATCTCATACTACAGCAGTGCTGCCATGCTCTGAGGCCTCCTGAGCTCCAGAACCATGAGCCAACAGAAACCTCTCTTCTTTATAAATCACCCAGGTCTGTGGTACTGAGTTACAGCAGCGTTACATAGACTAAGACAGGTCTGATACTTTCTCCCTGGCATCTCCATGGTCTCTAGAGCTCCAAGAAATCTAGTTTCACAATCAAAAAAAAAAAAAAAAAAAATCCCAGCCCAAACTCTGGTCCAGGGACCCTGGGGACTAATTAGAGCTATTGGCACCTGCACCACATCTAGCCTGCTCCCCAGACTCCAGAAGCAGTCAGTCCCCCACAGGATATGACGAGACGTGCCAAGAAGGGCCTTGTGTGCTTAGAAGAGTCCGGTTCCCAGAACATTTCTGTCACTGTCACCTGTGGTAACTGGGGCAGAGAACCAACTGCAGGGAACTAGCAAAACCTCACAAAGATGTGCTGCCTTGGAAGCCGCCCAATAGCTCCTGTGCTGGGTCCTAGAAGGTGGGCAGGATGCAGTGCATGCCCTCTGATCCAGGAGCCCTCCTCTCCCTGCACGTAGTAGGCAACACGCTCACTCACCGGTTAAACCAGAGGAGCAGACGAGGGTGGCCCTGAAGAGGCGCACACTTCCTCAATGTTGGACCCAAACACCTCTTCAGTAGGCTGTGGGCCAGGAAGGCTAGGACCACACAGGTGACAATGATAAGCACCAGGGCCCTCTGGAAGTCCAGAAGACAAGCAGTGAGCAGGAAGGCGGCGTATGCTGGGGACAGAGAAAGGGACACTGTAGCATGGCCCTGCAACATGTTCCACATCACTCCATCTGGAGCGCAGAGGGCAGAAACCCCTTTAGGCCTCCCTGAGTCTAGATCTCCAGTTTGGAAACGAGAATGCTCAGGCCACTGTGTCAAAGGTAGGATGTGTCTACCAGGTGCTGGGTACTTTGCAGAGAAGCTGTGAAGCCCACACGCAGACTCCTGGCCTCAGTGGGACACACAAGGGCTGGTGCCGGGTGAGTACAGCCATTGGTTCAGGATGGGCACATGACCTGATTGGCCTAGCCAATCAGAGACCTCCCCAGGATTTTGAAAGCAACCAAGGGCAGGAAACACATTCTTAGGGGAGTGGGGGAGGCATCTGTGTTAGTCTGATGGGCCAGAGCTCTCTCTACCTCCTATCCCTTCAGCCTATCCTTTCCCCTGTACCCAAAGTCCCCATTGTTGTAGGCAGCTGAATTAGAAATATTATAGGCAGTTAGACAGGGTCAGGCCCTCAAGGAGACAATATGGAAGACAAGGTGACTTTGCAACTCCTGCTTTGGGCCAGACCTTAAGACAAAAGAGTAAACAAAAGACAAAGAGTAAACAGGGAACACCGATGTCAGGTAAAGAAGCCAGTTACAGCTCAGGCCAGAAGTATAGAGGATATAGGCTCCTCCATTGTACCTGAAGAGGGCTGCCCCACAGAAGAAGTGACACCGTGTAGGTATGAAAGAGCCAGAGCACTCCAGAAAGAGGAAGTCAAGGCTGAGCCCTAAAACGGATAAACTAATGACCAAGTCCTGGCAGCCAAGACCTGTCACTGTCACCTGTAGTAACTGGGGCATAGAACCAACTGCAGAAAACTGTGTCTTGTCCCGGAAAGCATCCAGTCCTCCTTCAAGAGAAACAAGTCTGAGTCTGGGTGAAGGTGGCCGTGAGAGGAATACTGACCCTGCTGAAGGACCCCCTCACTGTCAGAGGAAGCTGGAGAAATGGCTGTGGTCTGGGTGTGGTTTGTGTCCCTTGAGGGTTCAGCTGTTGGAAACTTTGCCCTCACTCAGTGTGGTGGTGATGGGAGGGAGCAGGGCCTCCAGAAGAGTGATTAGGTCCTCCAGGAGGGATGAACTTGTGCTGACATCTACACCATGCCCATGAATCTCCAGAAGCTAAACAGACCTGTTCTTCATGAAGTACCAAGCTTCAAGTATTTTATTATAGCAACAGAAGACAGACTATGAGCTGGGACCATACATTCGCTCCATCTAAACAGATGACCCGGATGTCAAGTACTTCAAGAACAGTGGGCTGGGCTGGGGAGATAACTCAGTAGAATAAGCACCTGCCTTTCAAGGGCAGGGTCCTGAGTTCAATCCCTGGTACTGCAAAAAAAATAAAATAAAAAAAGAATACTGGGCCATCACTGTTATCTCTCATCATCCTCACCCCTCTGTAGGCACTCATGATGTCCTTTGCTTGACAGCCACCCTCCTTCTTTACCTCCAACCTGCCAGGCAGAAATGAGCCACACCGGAAAGCCCTGCCCTTCCACTTGGGCTGGGAGCCTTCTGTTCACCCAGAAGCCCTTACTCTATTGGTCATTGCTTGCTCTCCTGTTTCCTCTTCTTTCTACAAAGTCCCCAGCTCAAACATGTCCACAGTATTTCCCACCAGGAATACAAGTCACAACCCAGCCATCAACATTCCTGCCCTGTTCTGATAAAAATGTCTCCAAAGAGCTGTCCATACTTCCTGTCTATACCTACCTCCTATCCCTTCAGCCTACCCTTTCCCCTGTACCCAAAGTCCCCATTGTTGTAGGCAGCTGAATTCGAAATATTATAGGCAGTTAGACAGGGTCAGGCCCTCAAGGAGACAATATGGAAGACAAGGTGACTTTGCAACTCCTGCTTTGGGTCAGACCTTAAGACAAAAGAGTAAACAAATGCAGCCACACACTTCCCTAGGGATGGCCATCAGGGGTTGATATTCTAACCCGATAGGTATCAATCATCTTGAAAGAGCCAGAAAGAGTCACTAACCCAAGCTCTAACAGGAAGAGACCTTGTCCCATATTCATGCCCACTTGCTACCATGACTCACTTCCTCATTTGGTACTGGCTTTAATCAATTTTACCTGAGCAATGGTGCTTGTAATCTCATTGGTTGATCATAGTTTTGTCCCACCTCATGCCCACCTAAGCGAGTGCCCATGGTTTCCACCTCAGACCCACTTCACCACATGGTTTTACTCTTCAGAAGTCCCTGGAAGAGACACCTTCTCGGGACAACCCGCATGGGCCCCACTCCTGTCCTGCTCTTGGACAGAAGCTTTCTTTCCCCAATATTCTGCTCTTAACCTCTGTTTGTTCTAAAATTCATTCTTTGGTTTTAGAGAACACAAACTTGTCCCAGGTACCGTTCAGGTCAGGAGTTTCATTTCCTCAGTATCACCATGACTCTCTGTAACAAGCACCGCTCGGTCCTGGTCTTGTTGGTCCTCTGCAGAGGTGCTATTGATCTTGAAATCCTTTGCCCCTTGGCTTCTGCCAACCTCTTCTTCGTGGCTGGTCCCCAGGCCTCTGTCTTGACCTATTCTCAATGCATTTTCCAAGTGTCCCTGGGAGATTCCCTTCCATAGTGCCTGGCAGTGTCCCTCCAGCAGGCTGTCCAAATCGTTTCCTCCTCCCTACAAGATCACCTCCTCCACCTGGGTCCTGGAGCTCGCCACTATATATCCCCTATCACCCAGACCAGAAGCTGGGATGATGCAAGGTTTCCTTTACCCTATACTCCTGGTCACACCACCCCCAGGGTAGCTGGGGTCACTCCCCCCCCCCCACACACACACTACATTGCTCAAACCTAGCCCACCCCCATCTCATGGCCTCCTTCTTACACACCGCAGCCCCCAACCTGGGCACTTCCCCATTTAAATCCTTCAGTGGTTCTCTCTAGCCTTGAACACGATCCCCAGGTCTGAGCATATCCTCTTCGCCTGCAGATCAGGGGCCTTTCTCAGCCCTCCAGCTCTGAAACGTCTGAGCAGGAGGTGCCCACTTACTCCATGCTGGCCTCCCCTCCACCTACTGCCCGCTCCTCTCTGGTGGGCCCTCAGGAGAGATGCTTTGCACTGCCAGACATCTGCTGCATTCTGTGGGTATTTGTGTCATCCTCCCCCCATCCCCACCTTGCTGCTAAGGCATGCTAAGGGGGTGCCTTGGGAAGATGCGGTGAGGTCTGGCTTAGTTGGGGCCTCAGTTCCTGGCTTGGGCAGGAGCCAGCCCTAACTCAGTGCTAAGCAAACATTTATTGACTGACTGCTTGAGCGACTCTGTGCTAGGTACGGAGGCTGGGCTGTGAGTCTCCTCCTTCTGGTGGGGTGACGGGGGCTCACCAGTACAGAGCAGTCCTGTGCCCATCCATCGGAAGAGTGGCCTGGGACATCCTCGCAGGACCCACTGCAGGCTTCTCCTGGAGAGAGGAGCAGCCATGTCCTTGAGTGAACCCCAAATTCCACCTTTCGGGAAAGCCACTCAGGGGTGTCCCCAGTGGTGAAGCCAGGCATTGGCCACCACCTCCCATGAGGCTGAAACTCTAGCCCAAAGCAAACTGTTGAGCCACACTCCAGGCCTCAGGGCTTCTGGGTCCCTCCTTCAGGGGACAGACAACCTTGTGTCAGGGAGTGGGAGGGAAGAGCCTTATCAACAGGCAGAAGTACATGAAGATAGATTCTGCCTTTCCTGTTACATTCAGTCCCCAAAGGGGGGTGAAGTGGCTCCCAGTTCTATTTGCTCCCTTGGAAGCAGGGGCCCTCGTCATCTAAGTTCCCAGCACCTATTCTAGGAATAGGATGCATGAAAAGCCCTGCTCCTGCCCATCCCCACTGCCTTCAAGCACAGCCCCCACACCAACCAGCACCAGGTCACTGGGTCACCTGCCTTCCCTGGGGAAAGACTAGGACCCAGATACCTGAGCCTCTAGTGGATGTGTACCCTGAACTCACAGAATTCAGCCCCCAGCTGGGGTTTTAAAGTGCCCCCAGCCCCTGAAATGAGTAAGACTTCCCCCAGTTCCCTCATAGGCAGGCAGAGGGCCCCACCACCACCCCTGCCATACACACTGTTCAGCCTGGGCACTGGCCCTCAGGAACCAGAGTTCTAGGCTCACCGCAGACCCTCTGGGCTGGTCCCTTCCATTGTAGGTAAAACAGGAGTTTGAAACTGAATGGTAGGTTCTCCAAGGTGCCCCGGAGACTACATGAGGGTGGAGGGGAGGCCAGTGGGACCAGGGACCCAGGCCACATCCACACCCTGGCTCCTGGCCTGGTCACCATTGAGGCCCAGCTCATTCTCCCTTCAACAGGGGTCACAAAGTCTCCCAGGCTGTCGGGGGGCCAGGCTCCTTCCCTGCCTTATTCAGCCAGTGCCCCGAGAAGACCTACCATCCCCGAAGGGGCTTCCTCTCCACAGTGTGCCCGCCTTGTTGGCTTGAGTCGCTGCCACCAGGGAGTCGGCCTTCCTCCTGAAACAGGGACAGCAAGCTGAGGGACCTGCAGGGGAAGGAGCCCCTGCCATGCCGCTGCACCCACGCACCTCAGGAGTGGACTCAGGTGGGGACCTGCTTTTTGCACAGGAAATAACTGGCTACTTATTTAAATTCTTAATTGAATTATTCTGTGCTACTATAGATCCCTCCTTCGATGAGCTAGATCCTCCTGCCTTTGTGGTTTGTGAGAGAGAGGAACACTTGTGACTTCCCTGAGGCCAGTAGGGTCCATGAAGGACCCTCTGGGGATGGCCCCAGGCCTAGTTCCAGGGCACCATTCTCCCTACTGCCAAGGGAGTGGTTTTGGGTGGGGATGTCCTTGAAGGTGACCTTATGAAAGTTGTTCTGTAGGTGATGCATGGGACTGTGAAGAGGAAGGACCTTGTCTGAGAAGGTTGGGAGGATGGAGACTCCAGAGTTGGAGTTGTGGTCCTCAACCTTGCCCCAGACTGGAGGTGGTTTCCTCAGAGATGCACCCCAACCTCTATATCATCTGGCTTCTCAATGTGACCTTCACTGACCTTCAGGCTATCTGGGCACATAGTAGGTGCTCAGTAAATGCTCAAAGGTTACTGACATGAAGGGGCTGGCATGCAGAGTTCTCCTAACCAAGGAGCCAGGAGGGTGGAAGAAGGCGAACAGGGCGCCCCCCCCCACAATGACTGGGGCTCAAGGAGGAGGGAGGCTGAGAAGGCTGAGTTGGGGGCGGCTACAGACCAAACTTTCCAGGAACTCAGCCCCCATGTTCTCCACGCCGAGGGCCATGGGTGTGAGGGAGACGGACTCTCTTTGTCTCTGCATGTTGTCCTCCATGGGCCAGATCTTCCTGCTGAAAGACAGAGTCAGGGAGGCCCTGTGGAGAAGCCACGAATGCCACTCCGAGCTCACACCTCACTGCGCCTGGGCTTCCCCTTGGGTCGCCCAAGGGGAAGCCCCATTCCTGTCTCATGCTGAGCCTGTGAGAAGCAGGCCCTCGTGAGTGCTAGGGGTTCTGGGTAGAAAGAGCAAATTCTGCTCACTTCCCAGGAAAGAAGAGGAAGGGAATGAGTATCAGATGAGATGCACAGATACACAGACAGACTGCATCTGAAATGGGCTTTTTCTGAAGAAAGGCCCTTGCTTTCATTGCTTCCCACAGCAGGCCAGGATTCTACAGGGATTTGTTGTCCACTATGCTGTACTTTCTCATTGAAAGACGGAGACATCCTAAAGACGCCATTCTCATCCCTGGAACTAACCATACCTGAAACCATTTCCACTCCCAGACTTTTCCATTCCAATAGCCCGTGTGTTTCCTTCTCGGGCTTCAGCTCATCTGTAAATGAGTGCTAAGACCTCCTCCTCCCAGTCCTGTTCCTCTCTTTTCTTTCTTTTTTCAAGCACTCAGCCCTCTCCAAATCAAGCTGACATAGGCAGATACTGCATACACACAGAGCTGTGTGCACACCTTGTTCCTACTCACAGATATGGGGTGAAGAGGCTGCTCTCCGGGAGACAGAAGGCCGGGTTTCTGTGGGGCAAGGTGGGTCCAACACTTGCGCAATGACCAGCCTTCTCTGCTCAGTGGAAATCTTGGGCAGAGTCCACAGCTCCAGTAGGTTGGGCTTCCCAAGCCCACGGCCACTGCCAGGGCAGAACCCTGACCCAAATCCCTCTCAAAGAAAAGTGGGGGGCAGCATTCAAGGCCTGACCACTGCAGTGCCTGCCTTCTGTCCATCCCCCTCCGGGACCCTCCAGCCACCTCCTCCTGGCAACTGCCTTCCCAGCCCTGGTCCCTATCCATCATCCTTGGGTTTTTATCTTTCATTTTGTAACTCCCTCCCTGCCTGGATCAGGAACTGTTCCCAGGCAGCCTTTTTCCCTAGGCTAAGAGAGGAGGGAGGCAATGCAGCTTCAGGAATAGGAAAGCGCTGGGAAGGGTTTCTTCTCTATGCATCAATGTGGTCACCAGAACAATGCCAAACAGAAGGGTGAGTTTCCCCTTTTCTTTTCTCTCTCTTGCCCTTCCTCCTCTTTCTTTCTAAACATTGAAGCAGCAGGGTGCAAAGTCAAGAGACAGACACTTTAGTTTTTCAATCCTCAAACTAAACATTAAGCTTGGCTGATAGGGTTGAAAGCAGCTCTTTAATAATTAATGCTCCACACTCAGGATGAAATCTTTTAGAACATAAAAACACTTCCTGGTTGCAGCAGAGCAAGGTTCCCCACAACAGCTTGGGGGCTGCCTTGAAAGTGTGGGAAAAGAGAGTACAGGGGGCCCCCTCTCTTCTAAATCATTCTTTTTGCTTGAGCGTTCTAGTTGCCAAAGCATTACACATACAGTGTTAAACACTTACACACTATAGAATCCACAGAATGCGGGGAATTAAATTCCCCCAATCTGAGCCCTCCATGGATGAGCACTGCTGAGTCTGGGGCATTTCTTCCACATTGCCTCTGAGTATGCCCCACTTTGTGGTGCTTGTTTTCTACCAGGGAATCCTGTCATCCCAGCACTCAGGAGGCTGAGGCAGGAGCATCACTTTGGGTTTAAGCCCAGCCTGGACTATAGACCAAGATCCTGTCTCAAAAAAAAAAAAGAAAGAAAGAAAGAAAGAAAGAAAGAAAGAAAGAAAAAGAAAAACAAAAACAAAACAAACAGGGGGATGGGGATATAGCTCAGCAGCATGGCTCCTGCCTGGCGAGCAGGAAGTCCTGAGTTCAATTCCTTCTACAAAAAAAAAATTTGTTTTGCTTTTCCTATACCCTCACCCCAAGCCACTTTTGATAAGCTAATTAGTTGTAGAGGCAAAAATAATTCCTTGGTTGTTCTATTCTCTCCTCCTGTGAGAGAAGTGATCTGACATAATACCACTGAGCCTCAGAGCAAAGCCACAGACTGTACAAGAGGCCAGGAATATAGCTCAGTGACACAAGCACCTGCCGGACAAGTACAAGGTCTTGAGTTTGATTCCTGGTACAAAAAAAAAAAAAAAAAAAAAAAAAAAGGACAAAGACTTTCTACAGAAGTTGCCATTCAGGGACCTCAGGGCTCCTGGGAAATGCCAGGACAACAAATCTACTGACAATGGCTGTGTCCATGCTGATGCCAGCCACCCCTGGGGGTCACATCTAACAATCAGACACCGGAGCTTTCCAGGCATATCCCAAACCCAGGAAGATTCTGCTGATGATATTAATCCAGTAGAATTCTGTTCTTCTCTCATGAGTATGGACCGCTGTTCCTGTATGAACCTGCCAGTTAGAACCCAGGACCTGTCCCTCAGCTAGGCACAGGTCCGGGGCATACAGTAGCTAGAAGTCAGCATTCCAGAGTGTAGAAGAGATCTTTGCTAGGGATGGAAAGACAGGGGCCTTTGGCTCAGAGAAACAGGGCCATGTGCAAGATGGCTCTTGTAGTTAAGAGCTTGGTGGATGACCAGGCATAGGCTGAGGGCTTCACCTGTACTGCCCCCATGAAATCCTGTTACCCAGTGAGAGGATTCTGGATGCCCTTTTCTCCAGCTGTCCTCGACAGAGGCGTGTGACCTGGAAGCAACTCTTGAGGATCTGAACAGCCTGAGGCAGAAGCCAGGACTGTGGGCTGGTGCTGGTAAACCTGAGATGTCAGGTAAGGCTTTCATTCAAACCTCCTGTCGAAGCAAGGTGGATTTGGGATCTGTACTTGGTGGCTGTGAACTGTGTCCTCTGGTCAGATTCTGTGTAATCAGTACCCCTGTATGTCCGAATGACTTCCTGATGGGGTGGACTGCAGGAAACTCAGCTTGTATCCTGAGTAAGGATCCAACAACTCCAAGAACACATATTTGCCTGGATGAGCCCCAGTGATGCTTCTGAGGTGAAAGTCTGAAAGGGGAAAGAAAATGTACAAGAGAAATTGCTCTTTGTAAAACTTTATTCTTAAGGGCCAGTCAAATAGCTTAGTGGATTAAAGCACCTACAAGCAGGCGCAGGGGCCAGGGGTTCAATCTCCAGGCCTGTGATGCCCCCCCACCCGGGGCATGCTGAGATGGCAATTGAGACTAAGTGGGGTGATGCCCACCTGTAATCCCAGCTCTTGGGAGGCTGTAAACAGGCAGATCACTACAAGTCCAATTTGGTAGTAAGACCCTGAACACCCTGTGGACTCTTCCCTAAAATAGCAAAGAAAAAAAAAAAAAAAACCATTTTGTTCTTTCGAAACTGCCTAGCTCTATAACTGCTTCATGGCTTTGTAATTATTTTCTTGACCCCTATAACCACGAGTGCACAACTGAATGTGTAGGATGCCTGGTTGTACCACTGTATCGGGCTTCATGAATTGAAGATCATTAATCTACCCTTGGACCCGATGCTCTCTCCTTGCTAGCTAATCAGAATAACTTGGTGCCAGGCTGTTCTTTCTCGCCTGTATCTTCCTTTGTACCTCCTGCTCATGCATCATATAGAAGCCTTAGACCAGCAGAGATCGGGGTCAGGTATTCTAGGAATGATTCCAATCAGTGCCTGTTATGGCTTATGTCTAATTGTCCCCCCAAAGCCTCATGCAGTTATGGGGTGGCTTCTGAGTTTGTGATTAATTCCCAGTGCTGGGATTATGGGTGTGAGTGCTGCTGGGATTATAGGTATAGGTGCTGCTGGGATTATGGGTGTGAGTGCTACACTCAGCCTGGGATGGATAGCCCAAATGCAACTTAAGGGAGACAGACTTGCTCTCTGTTGCCACTACTCCTCCCTTTTGGTTTTCCACGACCATGAACTGTTTTCCACTGCCATGTGCCAGTCTGCTTTGGAGCCAGGTGAGTATGGACTGAAACCTCCACAAACTGTGAACTAAGTAAACCTTCCCTTCCTTAATTTTGGATATCGTGTACTTTGTCCCAGCAATAGGAGAAAAGTAACTGAGACAGTGCCTATCAATGTAAATAAATCTGCCTTCAAATGCTGAGTGTCATTTTGGTGTTTCCATACTTGCCATTGTATGTCAATCCATAAGATCTGAGACAGATTCCTTAGCCTGAGATGCGGGGTCTTGTCCAGGTGATATATAGGGGGTGTTCCCAGCAGGGGAGGATGGGATATGGAACTGGGCAAGGACAAGAAGAAAAGTGTGGTCTTGGCCAGAGCTGGGCTGTCAGCTGATCTCACAGGACTCTCGGGAGCATGCACTGCCACGGAGATAGTCCCTACCTGGGGTGAGGCCAGGCTCAGGCCTCCCTGGGCACCCAGCTGAGGAGCTTTCCACCTAGCTCAGACCCTACATCTGAGAAGGGTGGCTGTGAGTTGTACCTGCCACTCCCAGTGGCTGGGGGTTGGGGAGCAGTGACCACAGTGGGACCCAGAAGGGCACTGCAGTGGCCACCACTGGTGAGATCTGGGTGCCCCAGATGCCAACTCCAAAGACTAGGACAGGACAAGACACAAGACCTGCCTCTCTTAGGGTCTGCCTTGGGGTCATGGGGAAGACCTGGTTTTGCCTTGGGGGCCTGGTTTTAAATAAGTAGAAAGAGTACACTCTAAAATAATGGTAAAAAGTTAGTACACTGAATCCATATACCAGAAGCATCATTTCTGCTTTTGGGTCTCAGGGGAGACCTGTTTTTGATCACAGCCTCCTTCCAGCGAGAATCTCCATCTGGGGTTCAGTGTGAGAGCAGGTGTGTGGTCAGAACTGCCAGCCTACAGAATTCATGTGACTTGTCTCATCTGGCAGAGCACTTGCAACAGTGAGGCCTCAGCCCAGATAGCCCTACGATCATGCGCTGTGGTGGCTTCTCCAGCCAGGCCTACGTCTCAACTCCAGGTGGGGCCCCAAGTCTCATGCGTCCCTTGAAGCTTTGTATATGGTGGCTGCGACCCAATCACCCTTTGGAAATAGTAAGGAAGAGCCGTCTCTGAGCTCCATGAGCTATGAGGTGAAGGTCAGGACCTCTGTGTCTCAGCAGGGGGCGCCTCCTTCTGAAGTTGCTACAGGGCAAAGCTAGAGCCTCTGAAAATACCATGGAGTGCCTATCTGCCCCAGTGAGCACGATGTTTGTGGGCAGGATCAGGGTCCTTCTAGGGCCATTCTGCTCAAGTTCTGGTCCAAATGAGTGAACAGCAAAGGAAATTTGGGGAAAGTGCACCAGCGGGCAGCCCTGGAGAGACCAGAGCACAGGAATCCAGACAGCAGCTCCTCTGCACCCCAGCGTCCCCATACAGGTTGGCACCAGATTGCAACAGGCCTGAAAGGTTCCTATCACCTGGCACCTTGAAGCCATTGCATACTTGGGACATGCGTCACTCTCACATCTGTGATGACACTGGTGTGAGGGAAGCTCCCACGCTGCCAGCACAAACAGGGCTGGGGAGAGAGCTTGGCAGTCTAAGTGCCTACCTGGCAAGAGCAAGGGCACATGTTCCATTCTTGGTACCACACGCTGGAACCCACACTTTGCTGTCCCCCCAAAACCTGGTGTGGTGGCACATGCCGGTAAT